GAGCGAACACACTGCACTCCCTGTTTATGGATCTAAAGCTAACACACTGTTACTCTGTGACATGATTGATTAGCTGATTGATTTGCGTATTGACTTATTAGCTGATTGTTTTTTAATGAATCGTGTCAAAGAGCAGACGGTGTGTTTTGGATCCTGCAGTGTGTCTATGTGCTGCTGCTGCTGCTGCTCAGCTCTCAGTCCTAACACTGCTGTTTGATTGGCAGTTATAGCCCCGGGAAAACCCCAGGAGACACACACACACACACACACACACACACACACACACACACACACACAGAAGCACACTCGGACACACGTTGGGGATCGAGGCCCATTTTCACAGCAGCAAATCAACCAGCATGCTCGCCAGCAAACGCACATACATACATATATATTTGAAACATGAGAACATGCAGTAAACACACACACATACACACACACACACACACCTCCAGGGAGATGTGCTTGTGAGGGTTTCCAGGGATTCTGGGTAAATTGGCCCTGACATGTAAACAAAAAGCCCCAAAATGACTTGATTCAGCACATCGAAGTGCAACACACACACACACACACACACACACACACACACACACACACACACACACACACACACACACACACACACACAGACACACACACACACACACACGCACACAAGCAGATCTACTAAAATATATGTGTGTGTGTGTGTGTGTGTGTGTGTGTGTGTGTGTCAGGGGATGTCTACATATTCATCAAATGAGGCAGATTCTTATTGATTCTTGTGTCTATTAGCAGCGTTAAAGACAAGACTGGAAACACTGGACTCAGCCCTTCCATTTCAAATCAAATCTCTCTCTCTCTCTCACACACACACACACACACACACACACACACACACACAATCAGGAATTCTTTTTAAATTAAAAATGTTTTTTTATTTAAGATTAAACATGACTGCAGCGGGGCAGAAACAGCAGCCTCCTCATTTTAACAGTCAACCTGCAGCCATAGATGTGAGCAGTTTATCGGTTGGTAAAGAAAATACAAGAAATATAATATTGTGACATTTAGTTTTCTGATATTGTATCAATTCTTAAAAATCTCAATATATTAAGTATCGTGACACATGGGTTAAGGGTAGGTTAAATTTGTGCACCTTTGACTCTGAATTATGTAACTTCACTCTCTAGTCCGACCAGAAGCCCGGTGAAAGATCTCAGAGGAGTGAGGATGTAAGGTGATACTGTATAAGATCCCAGCCAGCTGTGTTATGGGGGGGGGATATTCTTTATATTTTGCTCTTCGTCCTATAATAAGTTACCTTACTTACACACAGGATGTGCATTCTGTGTCGGTGTGTGCAGCAGCATCAGCACCACGGACAGCACACAACACACCAACTGAAGCTTTGTTTACAACCCGCGGCCGTCTGACCAATCAGGTTTTATTCCGTTGAATGGTGCATAAAATGGCGTTATAACTTATAGAAACAATAAATTAAACAAAAAACTACAACCATTGTTTCTTTTTCATCGGTTGCTCCCCCCCATGTTACAAATGTGTCTGTCTGTAGCGATGACCATGCATGCTGATTTATGCTTCAGTGGCATCTAAGGCGACACACACACATAACACCAGTGTTGCTCGCTTGCTTTAGTGTGTGTGTGTGTGTGTGTGTGTGTGTGTGTGAGAGAGAGAGAGAGAGAGAGAGAGAGAGTGTGTCAGATCTATAACGGCAGCTCACAGAAATATGTACATTTTTACTTTTGTTTTGATCCTTTTTACAGTTCAGTGGGCAGGCTGACACACACACACACACACACACATACACACTAACAGATGGAGCCATGAGTCTCGTTTGAAGAGAAATAATTTCTGACAGAAATCCTTGAAGATCCTTCAGACTGGGAAGCAGCCCAACTCATCACTCTGTGTGTGTGTGTGTGTGTGTGTGTGTGTGTGTGTGTGTGTGTGTGTGTGTGTGTGTGTTTTAAACAGACACTGTGTTCCAGTTCTGTGTCCTCAAGGCGTCCAGGAGAAATTGCTTCACTCTGTGTGTATGTGTGAGTGAGTGTGTGTGTTTCATTATGGCTTTAGTCAGCTGTTAGGTATGAAAAAGCCAATTACAACCATAAGATTGCGTTCGCTTGCTCGCTGCAAACTCTGGAGAAGATGAGCTGAATAAATAACTGAGTCTCTGACTGTGTAACTGACTCGGTTACCGACCTTCCTCCCCAACGCGCTCACTGAGGTCTTGTCCACGTAACACGGTTTCAGAGTTATGGTAACGAATAACTTTTTCTAAAAGCCGCCCATCCACAATGAAACGTCAAACATAAAACAGTGCATCATTTTCATATCAGTGGTTATGATGAACACTGAGTTATCTGAAGCAGTATGTGTCATTATCAGGATCGCTCTCTGCCTGTTGAAGTGGTTGTTTTCTGACACTCTCTCGGTTGAAATGTTGTTAAAGACTGACGCTGGGCCTTATTTTGTGGTTGTAAATGTGGTTTGAGATATCTGGACTGGATGGCACCAGCTGTGTGTGAGTTGTGAGGGTGTAAAGTCAAACATCAGAGGCTCAGTAACTACTGGTTAGTTTGTAACTAAATCAGCTGCTAAAATTGGTTGTAAAGTCGTAACGAAGGCAAGTGGCCAATCAGTGCCATCATCACGGTTACCATGAACTTGTAGTAAGCTAGATCGATATTGAATTATTATGTCAATAACTTAGATCTCTTCTCAAATAATGTGTCTGCAATGGATGACAGAATGATGCTGTGTGATATAAATGCATTTAGTTTCCTATAATTTGACTTTAAAGCGAGATATATGAATGCAGATATTTCTTACATTGTTTTAGATCTTATTTTGTCAATTATTGTCAATAATAGGACAGGCCAAGCATCTTCATCTATAAACACTGGAGCTGAGGCAGACTCACGATATACAACTGTAATTCCTTGATGTGTTTTGTAAACGTGAAACAAACTAAAATCTTTTTTAATATCGTGTGTCACTGGCAACTGGAAATATGAAAGATTTCACATTAAATTATCCTCAGAATAATATTGTCTTTTGGAGAAAAACATGAGAGAGAAAATGTGAAGAGTTTCCTAACGGATGAACAATGGGGCAAAGGTTAAATCCACCAGTCTGATTGAGCACACATGTGATTCATCATCTGATCACTGAGTGGGCTCATAAAGGTCACTCCTACCTGACAGCAGCAGCTCTAAGTTGTTTGATAAATGTGTCTTATCCACTCCTAACAAAGACGTTTTCTTTGAATTATTGGATTTTTAGATGTAATTCTGCCCAGATTCAGAACTATAAGCTGCACCAAGGAGTACATTAGCAAAGAAAAGAACAATCTAACCAGCTAATGAACAACTTGACTGATTTACTGACTCACTGACCGACTAACCAGCCAGCAAACAGCCCGCAAACGCAGCCAGGAGAGAAAGCACAGAGCAGTAATGAATGGAAGTGGAGAGACATTTAGACAAAGTGAGAAAAATTTTCTCTGAGAGCTTCCAGTTAGTTTGATTTCTGTAATAGCAGCACACACACAAACAACACTGAGTCACACACACGCAGCCGCTGATTGTGTATTGCCTGTTTGTTTATTAGCTCTCTGATTGAGCGGCTCTGCCTTCCGCAGATTGGATGACCTTTCCAGATCCTTCCGCCGAGTCCGCTAAGTAGATCGGACGGCGAACGCGACGACACTTTATTCAGATTGTTACCGAATGAGGAAAAAGCAGGCGGTCATATGTGTGTGTGTGTGTGTGTGTGTGTGTGTGTGTGTGTGTGTGTGTTGCTGTTTGTACACACTCACTCTGCCTTCATTGGTTCAATTGAAGCCTCATCTCCATATAGTTTGTATGCAATTACATCTGAGCGGCGCGCTGAGTGCCTCTATATGATTGTGTCTGGATACTGAGTGCAACTAGCTGTGTGTGTGTGTGTGTGTGTGTGTGTGTGTGTGTGTGTGTGTGTGTGTGTGTGTGTGAAGGATCATTTGTGAGATAGAGCGCCGATTCATGCTCAATGTGTGTATATGTTTATTTTGGTGTGTGTGGAGCAATTCATGCTCGATTTTGTGTGTGTGTGTGTGTGTGTGTGTGTGTGTGTGTGTGTGTAAGAGAGGTAATTTGTGCCAAAGAAAAGTGTGGTTTTATGGGTAATTTCTGTTAGTGTGAGTGTATGTATTTATATGCATATACATGTACATACGGATATATGAGTGTGTGTGTGTGTGTGTGTGTGTGTGTGTGTGTGAGTTGGGGCGATATGAGAGCGCAGGATAAGCGTGGAGTGTGTTTCTAGTGGCTTGTTGGCCGCTCGCGGGGCTTTAAAGGGCACGTCCGTCAAAATGCGGCACAGCCGAATCTCATTCATCTGCAATAAACAGCTAATCACACTCAGAGGAACATGATCCTTCTCAGACCCTCAACTTCATCTCTCACACACACACACTCTCTCTCTCTCACACACACACACACACACTCACACACAACCTCGGCTCACTTTCAGAGGACAATCAGCTGACATAAAAAGGTTGTCTGCTGTGTTACTTTGATTCTGCTCGTCTGGTGTGACTAATGAATGTGAAGGGTAGTTTTTAATGGAAGTTGAAAACAAATTTATTTTTCTGTTAAAACTTTAGTGTTATTACACTTAAAAAACTAAAACCTGCAAATTACAAAGAAATAAGCCCCAAAGTCTGTTGGTAGCCCCCCCTGTAGGCTGCAGTGTAACTGTTCTTGGAGCCTTAAAATGAATCTTAAAGCTAAAAACCTACAGTTTGTCCTACAGGTGGTGCCACAGTGTCACCGCCCAGTGGTTTGGATCTGCTCCAAACTTTAGTGGGTTCTTCTGTGGACAATCGTACACCCTTACACCAAGTTTTATGAAAATCGTATCCTGACAGACAAACAAACAAACATAACCTGCTCTGCCACAGTATGCCATGTGACTGATTCCTCTATGTCCTGCTCTTCGTCTTCCAGGCCGAGCTGATCTCCAGTCAGTGTGAAGCCCAGCGAGCTGCCCTGGAGCAGATGGCCATCAAACTGAGCACCCTGCAGTACCCATCGCCTGCCAGCAGGAGGCACTACACCCAGCTGGCCAGGAACAACAGGTAAACAAAGCACACAACAGAAGAGCTGCAACTAACGCTGCATTCACACAGATTCAGGCAAGCGGCAGACGGTAACAGTAAACGCCAAAGTTCAAATATTGGAACCTTTTGCCATCCTCTGACGCGGGTTTCATTTTGCCGTCATTCTGTCGGACTGTTTGTTTGTTTTCCCCCACCTTCATGCAGAATAAGTAAACATGTGGACACATAGAGCTGATACAGTCAGACAATCTGGATCCAAGATGGCTTCCATGTATTTGAGCTTAAAAACATTATTACTGCGTATTTAAAGATGTCCTTTTTTCACTTAAAAATGCAGCTACAAAATTCTGTATTTTTATTACATTTTTTTTGCAGATATTTAACAGATTAAACAATTAAATTCAAGTTTAATACTGTTGATCCATTTCTAAAATGATGTAAAATTTGTGATAATTAACATTAAAAAAAGTATTTGTTCTGTAATCTTGTATGGATTTGTTTGTTAATTGACAGATATCTTGTATTATTATGGAAGTTTTCACAACAAAAACATTGAATAAATGTGTTTTTTTCAGTGTATAAGCATTGGTAAACTGTCAAAATACAGTTTTTATCAGTGAAAATCAATTTAATTTCACAGATAAGGACTTTTATTACAGTTGTATTACTTTTAAAATTCATATTAAAATAAGAAAAATCTAATAATAACAGCACTCTGCTGTAAATACAAGCCTGATTATTTGTATTATAGCAGTGTTCACCTGTATTTATAGCTCATTGCATTGGTTTTACAGTGTAAATATCTTTAATTAAACATTACACAAGATTTTATGTTAAATTAAAGCTAAAAGCTGTATTTTAATTATAGTAAATTACTGTACGTTTATGAGTCAGTTATTTTCTGTTATTTTACAGGGTTTTTTGTTCCCGAGCTGCCAGAATATTACTGTTGGTTTAACTTTTTTTTTTTTAAAATAGCGTATCAAACAGCATCAATAAATAACAGAATCCACAAATAGGATAAAAAAAAACAATAGACGAGACACAAACTAGCAGATGATAATTTGTGTAGTGATAGAGAAAGACTCGGGAAGAAGAAAACAGGACTCAGTAACATGTGACGCACACAGCTGAATGCAATCATGCACACACAGAGTTTGAGTGTTAACAGCAGTAATCTGGTGTGGCCAGGCTCGGCTCGGCGAGCCGCGTCTTTGGTCACGCTGCCTGTCGGCGTTTCATCCGCAGCTTTGAGGAGCCTCCCTCCGTGGTTATCACACACACGCAGGGCACACACACACACACACACACACACACACACACAATGAAAACATGCACAGTTGTGTGTATGCAGATGAAAAATGAAGCTGAAAGTGTTCACTCCGAGTCTGTAGCATGTTTTGTTCTGCAGACTTTGTTGGTGTTGTCAGTGTGTCGTCACTTACATGAAGGATGTGGTGTGAACACACGCACACACACACACACACAAACACACACACACACACACACACACACACACACACACACACACACACACACACACACACAAACATAAGTGGAGACACAAAGAAAACACAGTTTGTTGTTTGTGTTTTTCTGTGGCTGCAGTGATGTTTCAGTAATTTACATTGGATATGTTGGACACTAATTGGTTATTCATATATTAGCTGCTGCTCTTCAGATTTACATTTGTGTGTGTGTGTGTGTGTGTGTGTGTGTGTGTGTGTGTGTGTGTGTGTGTGTGTGCATGTGCGTGTGCATGTGTGTGTCCAGTGCAGCGGTGTGTGGGATGAGTTTCGTATTAATTGGATGTTGCATGTTTTTTCTGTAGCTGCAGTGAGTTCAGCTCAGTTGAGGTTTCTGGTTTTGGTTCAGTTGTAAAGAAAATGAAGGTCAGACTGAATTATTTACTGATCGCACACAAAATATCTCAATTTTAAATTAATGCCAAAAGAAATAACATGGACAGAAACAAAACATTGCTTTTGTATTTATATAAAGCTAAAAGGCTCAATAAATTACCACCTATATTGTTTACTGATTATTGTTTATTGGTAATTAAGCTTCGTTTTTTTGTCTTTGTGAAGAAAATAACCACTGTAAGATCAATAAACTCATATTAGTTTTTAATGGTTTTGACCCAAACTGATGTTGGGGAACTTTGTTATTCATGAAATGTAAGAACAGCATAAATTGTAAATCCAAAAAACATTGATTGATTCATTCATTTATTCACTTATTCATAGGACCTGTTATATAAATAAATCTATCTACCTTCATTCATTCATTTTCTATAATCAGGTATTAGAAAAGACCAGAGAATGAGTGAATGCATAAATGAACAAAAGAAAGGTAGAGTGAGTGAATGGGTCAATGAATGAATAAATGAAGGAATGAATAAGTTAGTGAATAATGAAACAAGTGGATGAATGATGAATGAACATTATTCTCTGTAAGAGTGAATCCATCTGAATGAGTGAGCGAATGAGTGAGTGAGTGAGTGAGTGAGTGAGTGAGTGAGTGGAAGCAGGCGGCACTGTGCTGCTGCCGTTCTCTGGTCGTCTGGTTTCAGTGTCTCTGTTGGATGAATCCATTAGACGAGACGAGTGTCAGTGAATCACCTCATAAATCCAACAGAGTCTCTGACTGAAAGGTGACGGCTGCCAATATGACTCATTCAACCTTTCACTCTATCATTTCATCCCCCTCTCCTGTCCTCCCTCCTTCACTGTCCTTCCTCCTCTTCCTCTTAATCCTCGCCATCCTTCCTCGCTTCTGTCTTTGCTTCCTTTTTCCTTTCCCTTCATCTTCTTCATCTCTTTTCTTTTGACTTTTGCTCCCCTACTTTCTTTACCTCCTTTCCCCATTCTCCCATCATGTCCTCCATGTTTTCACCCTCTCCCCTGCTCCACCCCTTCTCTCTCTCTCTTTCTCTCTCTCTCTCTCTCTCTCTCTCTCCCTCCCTGCCTGCCCCCTCCCCTCCTCTTCCTCCCTCCCTCTCTTCTTTCGCCTGTATGTTGGATGATGAATTAGAGACAGTGGTTACAGCTGCTATCGTCGTTGCAGCAGCAGGCAGCAGAAAGGGAGGGAGAGAAAAGCAAGTATTGGGAAGTGATGAAAAGAGAGAGAGAGAGAGACACAGAGAGAGAAGCAGAAAGTGGAGGATGATGGAAAATCCATCCATTTAAGTCTGACTGGAAAGACACTGCATGTGTTTTAACCAACAGTGTACACGGAGCACCGAGACGTCTGGTCTAAATCCCGGTCATATAAAGAAAAGTATTGCGTTTGAAGTGGTTGAAGTACACAGTTCACACCAGCAATAAAAAAGGAAAAACTAAATTAAATCAAGTAAAGTGGGTGAACTTTGATTTGCACCTTTCAGCAATAGCAAGCGGTCCTGAGAGTTGTGTGGCCTTACAGAGAATCCAAGATGGAGGAAGTTATCACAGTTTATTAGCTGTGTGCAGTTTTATTCAACCTCCTCTGTCAGAGTATAAACTCAGTGAGTCGATGGTGTAAATGCATCCTGTGGTTAAACTGTGTGAACTTACCTTCCAAAGCTAAGCTCATTAGCTTTGGTAGCTTTATTTACCTTCTTCAAAAACATTGGATAGAACAAAATGATGTAGAGAAGTTGTGGGGAGGAGTAGACAGGACAGTGCAGAGAGCTGTTGTGGCTGACTACTGCTAGCCCAGCTGGCCAGTGCACGGGTTCCCAAACTTTTTCAGGCCAAAGAAACTGCACATTAGACCGGACCCCCAACTTTGCCTTAAGAAATCCCTTTACAGTCAATCAATGATCAAAAAAGGATCACTGTAAATTACAGCCAACCCAATGTCTTCCTTTGTTGTTCCAACCTCCAAAAAAGGTTTTAGTTAAGTTAAAATATTCTATTCCTTCTAAACACACTGAACCCAGACTTTTTTTTACTTCTGCAGGGGTGACATAAAGTACACTAAAATGACCACATACACCCGCTCTCTCTCTCCCTCTCTTCATTCACTCTCTAGCTCACTCGACCAACTTTTGAATTGTGTGTTTCCGAACAGCAACAGACTAATCCTGCTCCAGATACCACTCCCAGCTGGAGATGTTCACACACACAGCCTTAATTATTTGGAGCAAAAACTTTGTTCTCACTTAGTGAAATGTCTGTCTGAAATGTCAATGTTTAGACTTGCACAAATTCACATGATACATTTCTTTGTATGCAGAGTTGAATTATGACGAGTTAGAAATGAATAATAGATTTCTATAATTCAAATTTCCCCAAGTGACTAAATGTCAGAACGCCTCTCCGTTACACTCCCACGCACTCCGTCAGCGCCGCGTGACAGAGAGCGAACCTGACACTTCAAACACTCTGTAACGGTCCTGGTGTCGAACGCAGCCCTGCAGTGCCACCACGTCGCTCCTTCCTCTCCGATTTGTCTGTTTTCTCGTCTTCCACCCCCGAGAGATCCTGTTTTACAAAGCGTTTAGTTAACATTAGTGTGAGAACAAGACGGAAACGGAGGAGAGGAGGGGAGGGAGGGAGTGGAAAAACGACAAACGACAAGAGAAAACAATCTGTGCGAGTGTTGTATCTGCTTCATCTGTCTGAGTCAGTAAAGGGCCGCTCGGCTCGCCGCATAATGAGGAACGCCGCCTCGGGGGAAGGAAGCAGCGCTCGCTTCCTTCACTTTCTTCTTCTCTGTTTGGTTTTTATTTTACTGAGAATCACTCACGGTGGAGGACAAGGGGGTGTGAGGAGAGGAGAGGGATGGGGAGAAAAAGTGGTAAAAGATGGAGGAGAGGAAGGGTGAAGATGTTGGAAGATTGTATTTCAGTGTAGCTGACGAGGAGATGATGGAGGGACAGAGAGGATGATGAGGAGAGAAGATGAGGTGCAAAAAGATGGAAGTGAAGAGAGAAAGCGGTATTTGGGAAGTAATTTGGGAAGTAAGGAAAGTTTTGAAAAGTGAAGACATGTTTGCAATGTGAGGGCATCTACGAAAGGGAACTGAGAGGGGGAAGACATGTTGGAAAGTAAGGACAGTTTTAAAGACATCAAAAAGATTTGACTTTCTGGAGAGTGAGGACATTTTCTGGGGTGAGGACATTTTCTGGGGTGAGGACATCTCGCAAAGTTAGAAGATATTTGTAAAGAAAAGGAGGACATTTTGTAAAATTGGGCAATTTTTAAGGAAGACGTTTTCAAGACGTTTTGGGAAAGTGAAGAAATGTTTGAGAAGTGTGGAGGATATTTTGTCCGGTTCTCGCTTCTCTAAAGGCTTTGTGAGGGTTAACATTTCGGCAAGGCCTGGGGGATTGTGGGTATTATATTAAGAAGCACAAACGTGTGTGTTCTGTTAGTAAATTCATGTTCTCATTACAGCCTGAATCGCAGTGAATTTGCAGCTTCAAGATGAATGAAAATGAAACAGGGAGAGATGGAAGTGCTTATTTTATTCTTTCTCTCCGTTCTTGTTTCTATAATTTCATTCATAGTTTACTCTCTCTACTTTTATGGCACGTCAAGTTTCTGTATGTGTACATTGTGTAGCGTTGCATTGTGGGTAGCCGTGCGTGTGTACATGTGATTATCAGCAGTCGTGTGTTTGGGTTGTTTAGTCTCTTTGAGGTATTGTTTTCACGAGTGTGTCTCTTCACGTGCGGTTGTCTCGACTAGTGTGTGTGTGTGTGTGTGTGTGTGTGTGTGTGTGTGTGTGTGTGTGTGTATGTTTGTGTTGTCGTGGAAACGCCATGGGCCTGACAGAGCTGTCAAACTGTCGGCGGCGGCGACCGGAGAATTCCAAACAATTTCACTGCTAATGTTGAGAAACATGTTGGCGATCCCCGCCGAGACCGAAAACCACCGAATATATAAATAATAAACACACACACACACACACACACACACACACACAGTCACTCTCTCACACACCTTAACAAAACGGCTGACAGTAATGTGAGTGTTTGAGCAATCGGCCCCTGTTCCAGCAGCATAAATATTTGATGTGATCCTGTGTCGAGGAGGAGGAGGTGAGAGGACGAGGAAGGAGGGGGGTGAGAGTGGGAGGAGTGGAGAGGGGAGAGTGAGGGGAAAATAATGTGGGAGAGAAGAGCAGAAAGGAAGAGTTAGGGGAGGTGAACAAAGAATGTGGACAACATGAGAGAGTGTGGGAGGGAGAGCAACGACGAGGTGAGTGGGGAATGGAGCAGAATGAGGAGGAGGTGAGACTGAAGCTGAAAGGGGAGGAGGAGGAAGGATGTGGGATGAAGCAGGTAGAAAACAATATGAAGATATAAAGTGTAAAGAAATGAAAGAAATAATGAGGCGTTTCACATTAAAATCCTTAAGAAGTTGTCTACTCCTTCTACCTCATTAAAAATTCCAGAGTTGATGATGTATTTCATTCTCAGTGTGCGCTGCTGGATCACACTGTAGAAGCTGCATACTGCATCAGGACTCACTCCGGCTCCGCCCCTTAAAACCAGGTTGCCAATGAGCTCAGAGAATGTGAAAACATCCTTCTGGAGTCAAACTCTGCACAGACATCATTCAAACACACTGTAGGAACAAGAAGAAACACTGATTTCTGGGGACTTACGGGGATAATGGTGTACACGCTCTCAGACAGTCTGTCCTGCGGAGCGTTCAGCGTGTTCCACTCAGTCGTACGCACAAAAAGAGAATTCAAACCCTGGCTCCTTTCACTCCGGGACAATCACTGCATGACGTTAGTGTGAATGTCGCATTGTCAGTTTTGGAACGTTTTTTTTCTGCCCCGATCCGACATCTGGAAGGTGTGGGGGGAGGGGGTTTCTGAAGCCATCCGACAAACAGCTCAGATTGAGCATACTGATAATTGTCTTCATAGCCACCTATTTCTTTCTGAGTTTTTTGTAACACCATAGAAGATAAATAAAGCCCAACCGGGTATCAGGCAAAAGTGTGTAATAGACACGCTGACCCACCGTGGCAGTGTCACGCTTTCACACATGTTCATACAGTCAAGTTAGCAACAATAAATATTCAGCTACACTTTCAAAACAAAGCTAGCTGAGGTTTCAGTTTGGTTCAGGAAAATAAAGAAAGATAAATACCTGGTGGAAGTGAAGTACATTACATAACTAAAATACGTCAGTGCTGACTTTTAGCTTCACATGGGACTGTTTGAACCATGACTTCATCGCTCTTTATACTGCACCTTTCACGTCTAGGAGAAGAAAAACACGACACTGACACTTTGCTGTGGATCGGCGGGTCTATTACAGGCCATTAGCATCGACATATAAAGATGAAGCTCTTTGGTACACGGTACACAGTTCCTATCACACTGGGGTGTGTTCATTTTCAGGTGAGTTTGGTTTTAATGAGCTGTTTGAAGCTATAAAAAGAGGGTTTTCTTATGACTGACAGCTGACCTCCTGACGTTTAATTCACTAACATCAGCTGATAAAACCTAAAATAGAGTCGCTGCTTTTTGTCACGTTCTGTGTCGCACTGTGTGTTTGCTTTACTTGTAAGAACTGGCAGAAGTAGCATCACAGGAAGTTCTGTCCTCACAACAGAATCCAGACACAGTCGAGTACAAGATGCAAATCAGCTCTGGTTGGAAAAAACTTTAGTTTCAGTCCAAACAGCAGCTTGAAAACTGTTTTCTGTCTGTTTTCTGCTTTCTCTCTCCGTCTGCCTTTATCTGTCAGTGTCTCTCTTTCATTCCAGTTTGCATTTTCTGCCGCATTCTTTATCAACATAACAAGATGCATATGTCTCTCATCGCCGCAGGACAAAACAATATTACAATAATACAAGAAACAATAACAGAAAGTAGAGCATGCAGGAAACACAATATGAATAAAAGAAAATTGAATTACAACCATAATTCAACTTAATAATCTCTCTCTCTCTCTCTCTCTCTCTCTCTCTCTCTCTCTTTCCCTCTCTCTCTCTCTTGTTGTCTTCAGTCTGCAGGAGTTTGAGGCCGAGTACCAGGAGCTCTGGGATTGGCTGATGGACATGGACGCCATGGTAACGGACAGTCACCAGCTGATGATGTCAGAGGAGCAGAGACATCACCTCTTCAAGGTAAGCTCTGCCGTCTGTCTGTGACTGTGTTTTACTGGTTTACTGGTTTCCAGTAACTTCAGTACTCTCCTCTCGGCCTCCAAAGTGGCGGAAATAATTAAAGAGTTTAAAAAAAAAAAACCTGCATTACAGAAGCAGTCCAAAGTCTGTACACTGTCCTGGACCATGTAACGTTGCTCAGGACATCCATTTTCAATCTTTTATAAAGCTTTCTCCGTGTCACAAAGTGATTCACTATATCTCCAGTTTGTTTCACTATGGAGGCGAATGGAGGGAGAGCTTCGGTTCAGGTAAGGCGTGTCCTTGAAGTAAGGGGCATACGTTTGTTAGCGACTGTTGCTGATCGTCTGGTTTTGCAAGACCAGCTGAATCTTAACTTGAAGTCTTAAGTCAGTGTGTAACATTTAGGAGGATCAATTAGCAAAAATGTAATATAATATTCATAGGAATGTTTAGATTAGTGAGTATAGGAATCGTTACCTTAGAATGAGCTGGTTGTATCTATAGACCCGTTCCTTCTGTAGATAAAAACCTCTCATTCTAAGGTCACAAACACACAACAATTCAATTTGCAGTTGATTTTACACTAATGGAAACATACCTATGAGTATTATATACCATTTCTGACTAGAGATCCTACTCAATGTTACACACTGGACCTTTAAGAACTGACTTGAGACCTTTAGTTGATGCCATGAATTCAACCACTGCTGAGATCTTTTTCTAAGCATTGTCAGACCCATATTACTGTAATATTTTTTTGAAAGATGTCAGGTGCACTGAGAGTGGACTCTCCAGAGGTCCACAGAAAGTCAGGCTGTGGGTCCTCAGTAGACTTGAAGACTTATGGATTTTGACAGCTCTCGCCACATAAACTTTGTGAGTCTGTAATTGTGGGGAGGTGTGGATGTTTGGATTCAGTCGATAGGTAGAAAAGTGTCGCAGGGTGTTGGCATCAAGAGTCTGACTGAAATTGATCTGTCAGCCACTTGTTCTTCTGAATTTGGTTAAAAGAAAGTTTACTGGGAAGCATGTTTTGCAGTATATTTATTTTAAACCCCTTAAAAGGTGAAATACACCAGCAGGTCCAGGCTGCGTCTGAATACACCACTGTCCTGTTTCCCAGCTTTGATCAGCTTTGTCACATTTTCTCACCTGATTTGACACCTTCCAGCCTCCGTACTTTCACTTCTGTCTGTGCAGCTCGACCTGTGCATGCCAAAACGTTTGGCTCTCGCTTATAACTTTTGCTGGTCAACGTCACACAAGTTGTGGTCTTGTGTCCAGAAATGGTTCTGTAGGTTCTTTAAACGGCTTTAATGGCCTCACTGTGATGTCACAAATCTCCCATCAGCCACCTCTGCCTCCATCATACAGAGGAGCGCTAAGGACCGTCTGCTAATCGAAAAGTCTAAGTGTGTAGAAACAGAGAGATAGCTGGAGCAAATGATGTCCTCCCACATTTCATTCATCCATCAGTTTGTCTGTCTCCACCATCCCTCCCTTCACTCCTCCCTCCACCTCCCCATCCCCTTCTTCCAGCCAAACACCACACACACACACACACACACACACTTACACACCCTGTCTTCATCCCTACCAAGGAGAATGGGATTACAAGGCATAGCCTCCCTCATAACCATATCATAGAGAAAGTGTGTGTGTGTGTGTGTGTGTGTGTGTGTGTGTGTGTGTGTGTGTGTGTGTTAGTGTCAGTGAGAATTTGTGTGTGTGTGTGTGTGTGTGTGTGTGTGTGTGTGTGTGTGTTTGTTCACTTCAGCCAAATGAGACAGAGGAACAGCATGTGTTACGATTAGAGATCTGAGTCATCCTCTTCTGTCCTTCACACACACACACACACACACACACACACACACACACACACACACACACACACACACACACACACTGATAGAGAATCAAAGACTGACAGAATATATATTCATGTTGCACAGTTAGAGTTGCACTCTAGAAAATGTCATTTTTAAAAGCATTTTTATACTTTTATGAAAACAAATAAAGTAAGCGGCCTGCTGTGAGCTGATCTACATGTGTCCAATGCAAATGAACTCGCCTGACAAACGTTTATGAATCAAGTTCTTATTTCACTTTATATGCAATGTCAAACGAGGAGTAACTTCCAGCGCTACTGGTGGTGCCACAATTAACATAACATTGTCTGTAACAGCATCAGGCTCATGTACATGCACTTTGTGTACATGCTGTAGGTTATGGTACATACAACCATTACAATACATTTTATTGTATTTCAATCAGGGCAGTGAGGAGGCCATATTTGTGATGTTTCAGTTGCACTCTAGAAGTAAAAAGTATTGAATGGATTAAAAATGGAGAGACAACTTTTTTATTCTTAGATCTTTAACACAAGTGGTTCATAATATGTGAAGTTTTTACTCCGAGTGGCGCCAGAGGGAAGGTCCTGTTGTTACCTGAATCACACGGCTCCATCCTCTGTATCAGCCGGCAGTTTAAGATATTTCAATCTCTACACTTTCAACTTTTGTACCTATTCCATGTTCATGTCACAGCAGCATACTGAGAAACAAAACTGCATCAGCCTCCTCCTGATTTTAATTTTCAGGAGGACATTTTGTGAAATCCTTGAAGCTATGATCTCTCCCAATTCTTCCAAACCAGTGGTTGCATCCAACGTATTCCGCTATAGCAACCGGAGGCAGGTCGGAAACGCTGCGTTACCTGAATAAAATGACAGATTCCTCTGGGTTAGAACATTGTTGGGATAATTTAAGTACACAAACCAATAACATATATAACATAATCATGAACTCTGAGCTTGAAGGAACTGTTGCATTTTGGGGAATTCTAACCAAACAGAACCACAGTGAAATACACTCACTGACCCTTAAAAACACAAATGTATGCATAAATCTACACAGACTAACATATCCACTATCATGCTGCTCACACACACTCTGGTTGGGGTCGAACCGCTGACATCTCACTCTCTTCTTACCCACAAGGCATTGCTGCAAACCAACACACACATAACTTTGTGTTGTTTTTTCCCGTTCTTTCTCTTTCTCCGTGTCGCTCCGTCCAAAACTTTTCTTTTTTTGTGTGTGTGTGTGTGTGTGTGTGCAGATATGATTTATTTAGTGGCCGATGAGACTCACCTGGCCTGCGAATTATTGATAAGTGTAAAGATGAACCTAATTTCTCCATAGGAGCTGCACTTAAATATTCATCTCCGTATGAATATTCATGGCGGCGATGATGCATGCATGAATTTTAGATGACTCTGGAATCGCTGGGCATTCTTCTTCTTCTTCTCGCTCTCTTTCCCTCTCCCTCTCTCTCTCTCTCTCTTTTTTTTTTGATGTGTCAACTCTGCTGTTAAAATATTGATGTGGAGCTCGACAGCGTCTCCTCGCCCGGTCCAAGGTCGCTTTCTTATACTGTTTCTCTCCCTCTTCACCACTGAGAGTTACACAGACAGGCCTGTATACTGTAAGCTGCTCATATTTGGCTCTTTTTATCATATATATCACTCACTTTTTACTTGTTGGCTTCGTTTCTGTATTTCCCACAGTGACTGCTAACTACCCACATCCTGTAGTTCATCAAAAGACACCAGGCTGCATTGTAAAAACCCTCCAATAACGGTAAAAGTCCGTCAGTCAGTCTTAAAAAAGTGCTTAAAGGTCCAACAGCTTTCAGCACATGTAAAATCACAGTATATGTACACATATATTTAGTAGTTTGTCCTTCATTAACCCCCGTTTGAGTGTTTCCAACCAAACATTTTGAAAATATAAGCCTGTTTTACCGCTATCTCTTTAAACATTAGGTGATGTAAACAAATGATTCATTAATAAGTTACCTAATATTAAAAATATATTACCATAATAGTCATTTATCAAGCTAAAATACAAACATTCTCAAGGTTCGATTCTAAAATCTGAGGAATATGCTGGGGGGGGTTTCCACTTTGGACTGTGTGTCAGAAGACAAAAGCAAATGATGTCAGCTTTGGCTCTGTGAACTTAATATTTTAATATATAACATTAGATATTCTACATTAAAAGGAGTTGATTAAACAGGAAAAACAGAATCATTGATTATAAACTAATTGTTGCAGGTCTACAAACATTTAACAGGATAAGAAGAAATAATATGAAATCAAAGTAGTGTCCTTAAAAGCAAGAATTACTGAGATAAAAGTTTGATCAAAGAAATAATGAATCAATATAATAATCAACAAAAAATGTGACTCCTCTCATCCGTCTGTATATTCATACTGAAGTTTCATATTCTGAGCAGTTTATATGAACTCTTTTTAAAAGGTTTTGTTACCCTAAGTTTAACAGTTAACACAGTGTGTGTGTGTGTGTGTGTGTGTGTGTGTGGGTGTGTGTGTGTGTGTGTGCGTGGTCTAAACCCCCTGTTTTTTCTGTGTTTTTTTCCTTCATGTGACCGTTAAAGAACCTCGCTGTGCTCCACTAAAATGCTGGGGGGACTCGACCCTGTAACCATAGCAACGCCAACAAAAGTTGTTCTTTTTGGAGTGTGTGTGTGTGTGTGTGTGTGTGTATGTGTATGTGTGTGTGTGTGGTGCTGAACTTAGAAAGAGTGAGAAGGGAGAGTGTCTATGTGTGCGTCTTTACATTTGTATGTTTGTGTGTTTCTTTGTGTGTGTGTGTGTGTGTGTGTGTGTGTGTGTGTGTCCTCCGGAAAAGGAAAGCTGGGCTGACAGTTGTTCCTGCGGGCAGGCTTGGCAGGCCGAGGCTCTACTGTTTATTGTGATGTTAGATGGAGGCACTTATCAACCTTGGAAAGGAGGGAGGAAGGAGGAGAGGACTGTTTGTGTGTGTTTTGATACAGATATGTGTGTGTGTGTGTGTGTGTGTGTGTGTGTGTGTGTGTGTGTGTGTGTGTGTGTGTGTGTGTGTGTGTGTTACAAGCACATGCTCACACCAGTGAACATGGAACAAAGATTTAAAAAGAAATCTATCCAATTT